AGTGCGGAGACTTACTCTCACGCACCAACCCCGCCTCGCGCTTTGCACGGAAAATGCTTCAATGACGTCACACTGCTCTTTTTTGCAAAGGCTACTACACTGCCTTGTCACGCAGTGTTGGGTTCCAGGAACCAGGTCAATCTCATGACACACGCCTCTATCTGGAGGCAAACCTATCGGCGGGTTTCTCGAGACCACGTCTCCATACTCCTTCACCACCGTGTAGAAGGGATCCGAAGGATCTTTAACGATCGCCGATCCACTCCTCGCGTTTAGCGCCTTTTTGGTGTCCTCCAGGACCGCGTCGTCCACAACGGACGAGGAGTTCAACTCCTCCTCAGGTCTTAACAAGACCACTTCGGCTAAGCCGCCTGCCTTCAAGGCCTCGCCAAACTCGGGGATGAACATCCCGTCCAGCATTATCAGAGCATTCACAGCGGGCAGAGAGTCAAGGCTGATGTCGCCTTCGACCTTCCCCGTCACTCTGTTCACGAGTGTGTACAGCCTCGCTGCTCATCACGTTGGACACCTCGTACGACGCCCAAGACGTCACAGACGCCCTGCGACTTCTCCTCCTCTCTCTCCGCGACCGAGCTCGGCCGGGTGAGAGCGGTGCAGTGACATCTCCGTCACCACCACCGGGTGCAGCAGCACCGACGCTCCTCGAAGATGAAACAGTGTCTCGCGAGACACTCGGCTCAGAGCCATGTGGTCCATGACCCTCACTCAGTGAACTAGGTGGCACTACACCTGCAACTTCTGGGCCTCGCCCACGATGTCTCGACTCGCAGTTGACCGCGGCTCTCGGGCCACGTAGCGGTAGGTCCCCGACCGGATCTATACCACTTAGTGGTTTACGCGCCACTCCGCGCTTGTCCTCACTAGAACGAACAGCAACCTCGTTGCTAACAAGTTCCGACATACCAATGTCCAGCACCACGGCCGCCTCGGCCTCGTGCTCGCGCCAGTAGCGCTTCTGCTTGCTTGCAGAGGTGGGTTCATGACTCACCAAGGCTCCACTTGGAGCAGGGTGGGTAGCACCGAGTGTTTTCGACTTCCTGTCGATCCATGGCTCATGGCGCTCAAGCCATACCATGCCCAAGATGAGGTCATACCTCCAATCCAGGTCTAAGACCAAACAGCGTTCCACGCT